CTTTATTTATATATCGAGGGAATATGATATAATATACAATAAAAAATTTACATATAATTCAATATTTATTTACAAAAAAATTATTTTCACCGCTGCGAAAAGTACACGAAATTATATTACATAATATTGCGATAAAAGAGATAGTCGAGAAAAAAATAGAAAAATCATTGTTCAAATACATAACCATACGGTAGCGAATTTCGACTATCGATAAATCTACGCTTTAGTAATACGGGTGCGCATACTTTAGTTTCGTCGCGTGTTACGATTTCGTGAAACGCTGTACGCCGAATTGCTCTAAAGCATAGATTTATCGAAGTTTTCGGCAATTCTTCTCCGTTCTTTTCATTTTCCTGTGCTCTTTAACAATATAACAATAAATTCTTAATGCTGTTAAAATTAACCAACCGAGAGTTTTCATAGTTTAGGGTTATGCCCTTTACTTTACAGCGTACGCCCGTACGCCCGTCCGGCATACGAACAACATAGGCATAAAATTTTGGGCCACCGGACACGAACGCCTCGATATAACTACCACGACCGTAGCTTTCGAGCTCGTCCGTCATGTCACCCAGAAAATTTCCCGTATGCGGTTCATACTCATTCGGTTTACCTGTGCTTACGTATATACACGAATCAGTATCATAATATAACACGCGTCGATCTAAGCGGTCTAATTATTCATATAATTTTAAGCGTGCTTGAGCCGTCGTATACGCCGCTATCGCAACATTAGTTATAGGTGAGGGCGTGACGGCCTCTTGTCGCAATTGCCACGAAACATATATTACCTCGTTGTTCACGGGTAATATATCGGTTATCTCATGCTCGGCGCTCGTCAGTAATGTCAGAAAACGTTGCAGCGTTCTCACAACCTCGGTATTCGGCAAATTTTAATAAAAGTCTCTCGTATTCGATTACATTACACTCTCCCTAATATAAATAAAACATTTTGCTTACCATTTAAGAGGTTTTCTCGATGTTTAGATAACAGGAATTTTATAAGATCTCCTGCATCCTCCTCCTCATGTTCGAATGTCTCCCGCATTTCTATTATTTCACTCGCGATATGCAGCAATTCAGCATAATCGGCGAAATAACCTAGTCTGTATAACACTGCTAGTACAGTGTTCGAGCAGGCCCACGCAAAAGACCGAAAAACAGCGTAATTGATTTCCGACGACTCATCCCATAACGCGGATAAATATCGTTCCCTGTTTAACGTAGGCGCCAAATTTGAGCCTATAATTATGCATTTGCATAATACTTCTTTGAGTCCAGGCATTTTTATCAACGCTCACTCACGATATCACTTTTCACGATAAATATAACACTTTTCGCGGAAAGACACGCGTTGCTTCGATCGATGGCGAATTCGGAAATAATTTTTCTACTACACCACGATGCATTTATTTACTCGTATCCCCTCTTTTTTCCCAAGAAGGAATACCCTCGAAAGAGTTAAAATTTCTCCTTTCTTCCGAGAAAAACGGACAAAAAGAAAAAATAGTTTCTTATTTTTATTACGATATGCAGGCATTGCATGCAATAGTTATAAAAATTAATATTTTATTTTTAAACAAAACTTACGTGTAGAACTCGTTTCAAGCTCTTCTTCATTCCTGCGTTTTCGTGTCTGAGTGCGAGTCTCTTGTACGCTATTCGCCGGGGTGGTCCGATCTACAGATTATGATAAATTTGTAAATTTAAATTAATCAAAGTCTCTCGTATTCGATTACATTACACTCTCCCTAATATAAATAAAACATTTTGCTTACCATTTAAGAGGTTTTCTCGATGTTTAGATAACAGGAATTTTATAAGATCTCCTGCATCCTCCTCCTCATGTTCGAATGTCTCCCGCATTTCTATTATTTCACTCGCGATATGCAGCAATTCAGCATAATCGGCGAAATAACCTAGTCTGTATAACACTGCTAGTACAGTGTTCGAGCAGGCCCACGCAAAAGACCGAAAAACAGCGTAATTGATTTCCGACGACTCATCCCATAACGCGGATAAATATCGTTCCCTGTTTAACGTAGGCGCCAAATTTGAGCCTATAATTATGCATTTGCAT